GTCGTGCGAGTTCTGCTCCAGCTGATTCTGTCAGTTCAGCAGCAGCATTGTTTGACGGCGCTCCACCAGTGGCCAGTCGGGCGCTGTCAATAGAGCGCCCGCTGCCAGCATGGTTTTTTTCCATAGCGCGTTCAAGAAAAACCTTCTCTGCAGCTGTTTGCCGCCACCGAAGGCGCGACGGACCTGTTCGAACACCAGAGTCGGACGGTATCTGTCCTGCCGCCCTGCTTGTCTCACCTCAATTCTGCCTGGGCGGACGCTGGCTTGCCATCCCGCTGGCTTTCGTAGCAGGATCCTGGCTCGCGCCCAGTCGAATATTCGTTGCCCGCTCTTTCTGTAGAAAAGCACATCTATCACACCCACCCCTACACGAATGTTCCCTAGCAGCTGTTTCCGCCCTCCTCTTTTCCTAGTTCGTTCCTCCCTCCCCTATTCCTTCTCCTTTTTCTCTTCCTCCTCCGCCTCCTCCTCCTCCTCGTTTTCCTCCTCCTCTTCCTCCCCCAGTTCCTTCTCCGCCTCCTCTTCCCCTTCCTTTTTTTTTTTGTTTTCCTCATTTGTGTTTTCCTTCCTCCTTCTTCCTCCCCCCCATTTCGGGAGACCCCAACTCGCGCTGCCGCTCCTCGAGCACCGCGGCGAGCCCGCTGGAGGCCCACCCGCCGGCGTCGCGCTCCGCCGCCTTATGGGCCGGACCCGTTTTTCCCTGGCGTTCCCCTTGTCCTCCTCCTCCTCCTCCTCCTCCTCCTCCTCTTCGCTTCCTCCTCCTTCCCCGCCCTCCTTTTCGCCCTACCTCCTGGCTCCCCTCACCCCTCTCTTTCATTGCCCCCTCCCCTCTTCCGTCCTCTCCCCCTCGCTTTTCCGTTCTCCCCCCCCCTCCCCTCTTCCGTCCCTTTTTCCGTCCTCCTCCCTGCCCTCCCTTGCCCCCTTCCCCCCTTTCCCCTCCCCCATCCTCTTTCATCCTCTCCTCCTCACCGCCCACATATACTAGACGCTCCAGCAGCTCACGACGAGCCTTGAGTGCGCGCGCGGCTTTCGAGCACATGTGTTATCGGATGCCGCCTGGCAGGGCAGCCAGAGAGAGCCGCGCCGCGCAGACGAAACCCACCCAGCCAGAAAAAAACTGCACCAGCAAAACAGACCATTTCCCCGGCGCTCGCTCCTGGACCGCTTGTTGATTGCAGCCGCCCAGCGCTCGCGCCGAAGGCCCCCAGAAACCGCCCCCAAACCGTCCGAAGAGCGTGTGGAGACCGCCGACGACCGCCAGAAGACCGACGAAGACCGCCCCAGGCCGATGGGCAACGAGGGGCCCCTGGGCGAACACGTCGCACGCACGGCAGGGTCCCCCGCGGAGGCCGGAGAGGCGGCTCTCTCTCCAGGAGGGCGGCGCGAGAGTGCCGGCGTGATCTCGCGTCGCGCGCCGCGGGGCGCGACGTTGGCCGACCCGGCGGCCCCTTCCAATGCCGAGGCCCGCCATCCTCAGGATTTGTCGTATGCAACACCCTACCCTGCCCGCCCCAGTGAGATTCCACCGCTGGGGCCAATTTCAATATATAGATGCTCGGGGGGGGGGGGGGGACAGACTTCCTACCCTGACACGTCGATTAGTGGATTGTCCGTTGTCAGTTGTCCAGAGGGCGCCGCGGCCGTCATTTTCCAGGCTTGCGCCCGCCAGGTTTTGGCCCGAGGTCGTTTTCACCAAACCACGTTTTACTAGAGGGGGGTCTGTCCATCCCCGAAAAGTCACGCCTAAAGGAGGGAGGCGTGTATACCAGACCCAGACCCAGGACCCTCGCCCGCCCCGCGGGACAGGGCAGAGCATGCTGGTTGTTCGGGCGGACGCCAGGCCACCGGGGCCAGGGCAGTGCGGCAAGCTGGAGTACCCATGGGTTGCCCTTCCTGGCAACCTTGCAGGAGACGAGGGGGGCCCACTCGGCCTGGGAGGGGGGGCCTCGACAACGATGATGACGACCCCCCCGCCACCCACACACCGCCACGACAGTGATGGCCACGGTGAATCGTTTATGGCAGGACAGCGATGACCACAACAGGTAAGTTGAGCATCGTTTATGGCAGGTCCGTTCAGTAAGATGACGGGAGCCTTGTGAACCCTCGCAATTCCGTCTTGAGAGTGCAGCAGCGCCGATTTGCGTCTCGTAATCGATGAGATGCGCCAAGTGAGTGTCGATCAGGGTCGATACAGTGTCGATGAACGTCGACTCGCAAGATCCTCCAAGATGGTATGAGAGGGAACCATGTGCTTTCAGCATTGTTCATGGTAGGTTCGCTTCGTGTCTACCGGCGGCGACCCCGTCGTAGGCGTTCATCGTTGAACGCCCTTGGCGATCCGGAATTTGCCGATTAAGATTGGTCTGACGTTTCCCCGCGGTTCCGATACCAACGCCAAAGTCGGTACGATACGAATTTGCTTAATTTTCGCCGATCTCCACTAGGACATGGTGTCTCAATCCCACCAGTTCACCCTGTCAGGTTGGGATAGGCCATGCGAAACCTGAAGGAACATGCATCCCCTCACCATATGGGGTCCGTTATATGATGCCCGTGGACGCACGGCTTCGTTAACATGTGATTCCTCCTGAACTCGAGCGTTTAGATAACCCACCAAGCCCTATAGTTTCTTACGCGAGCATATTGTCCCGAGGATAAGGCCGACAGGTACGTGGGGCAAGCATCGAATTGCAGTGGTCTGCTAAGTAGAGAAGGGATCGTTATGATCAGCCCGTGCAGTATCTATGAGATAATGATAGGCGGCGCAGACGAATTTCCCCCTTGTCATCCTCTGCGTCGGTCTTGTCCTCCTCTCGTGGCAATGTTGGCTCAAGGCTGAGAGTTCCACAGGGGAACAAGTGGACACCGCTGGTCCGCGGCAGTCAAGACCTCTTGCGGTCGGGCCAGCTCTTTCTTTTCTCTTGTAACTGACGTACGGAGTGGCGGGTAAACAGAGGTCTTTCTGCTTCCTCGTGCGTCGCGCAGTGCTCCATGGCGCCTGCTCGAGATGGTGATGGTCGTGCTCCTCCTCGGTGGCGCGATCGTGGCAGCTGTCGAGCTCAAGGCGCCAGGTGGGGTCACGCAGGCGCGTGAGTCCTCCAACCTGCCGACGGGGATGGTGCACCTCAACGGGCTCGATTGCAGTAGCAGCTTGCGCGCTCATATGAAGTCTGTTCGTCATGCGGGCACTGGGAGTTCAAGAGCAGGAGCCGCGGGGCGTGCTCCAAGAGCGGCATGACTTACACATCTGGCATCATGCCGTGCGAGAGTGCCGTGCGAGAGTGAGACCGCCAAGAGGGACGTTGGTGGTGAACACATTCCCGATGAAGTCCCTGACGATGTTCGTGAAGCAGCGGCCAGGTTGCTGGTATTTCGTCCCGAGCTGCAGGCAGGTCTACGCGAGCTCGCTCCGCTTCATGAGCCTGCCCCCGTGCTGTCTGCTGCTCAAATGCGCATAGGGCGCAGTATGCAGCACATGTTGAAGGTGCTCATCGCCGAGTCCCTCTGTGCTTGCATTGCAGGACGCTGCGCAGAGGAAGGCGAAGCTGCAGACCCGACGCGAGCAGTTCGACGAAGGCGACGAATGCAGCGCTCGCCGCTGCCTCAGCCCAAGAAGGAGCTGCGAGAGCTCGGGCCGAAGCCGACCGCGCGCCGCAGGCCTTCAACGCCCGAGGCGCGGATCGCCGCCGGCGCGGAGGAGACCCGCAGGGCCACCGAGGAGGAGCCCCGGGCCGGGGCACGGCAGGCCGCGCCCCCCTCGTCGCGCCCCGGGCGGTGCGCCAGCCTGCGCCCCCGGCGGCGCCGCGGAAGCCCTCCTCGGCCTCCGCAGGGCGGCACGCGCGTTATGCTGGTGACCCAGCGCCTGGTAGGGGAACAAAAAGTGGCATGAACATAACATCTCGGAGGTCCGCGCGGGTTTCTCGGATCCGCGCTGGGGCCCCCCGGCGGCGCCTCCGGCGCCGCCCCTGGCGCGCTCCGCGCGCCAGGGAGGGGAGTCCAGCGCCGATCCAAGAAATCCGCGCGGACCTCCGAGTTTTTATGTTTATGACACTTGTTGTTTCCCTACCTGAGGCTGACAGCGATGCCGGCCAGATGCATGTGGGCGCCCCCAGACTGCGCCTCCATGCCGGCAGAGGAGCTCAAGGGAAGCGGCGCCGGGAGCGCCAGTTCCCGCAGCCTTTCCTGGAGGCGTGCCGCACCGTGCATGAGGCCGGTTGCAGGGTCGACGCCGGCGCTGGTGATGACGGCAGTGGCATGGGGAGCGAAGCAGGAGAGTAGTCTGAACAGCTTCGGATTTATCGAACGCGTTGATGTGAGGCCAATCTTACGCCAGAAGAAATTGACAAACTCGAGACGCGTCATGCTGACAGGAGCCAAAGCTAGAACGGTCAAGCGTATCCGGGTGTCCCGTGTCAATCCCAACCCTCGATTTCAAGACGTGCTCAAGGCAGTTGCTCAGACCATTCCTGTAGCACTGATGTGTTTGTGGCACGCGGCAGGATCGTGAACCTAAGCTTGCAGCGAGAAACGACCAGAGGAAGAGAACGAGAGGCGTGAAGCCCGGTGTCTGCAACCTCACCCCGTGGTCGGCTACTTCATCTTATTTTGCGTCAGCAGTGCGGCAAGGAGCCGATGCGTTTTCCTGTGTGAACAGCGGTTGCAAGTCCATGAGCTCCCCGCTGCCAAGGAAAAGCGTGCTGTCATGTCCTGGAGGCCGCACTTCCGGGCAGGGGCCTAAGCCAGCGGGGGGCGTGACCCACGGGGGGGTCAGCCGCGCGTGGCTTAGGAAAGTTCAAGCCAATGTGGGCGAAGTTGAGTATCTCGGGTCTGGAAAAGGTTGAATGTCTCTGGCGCCCAGGACCAGAATGGCCGCGATGGTCGTTGGAGTTTTCTCTTCTGTCTCAGGCCTTGGAGTCTGGGGGAGAACCTGCCCGAGGTGGGAAGGGGCTGCATTTATCCAGGCCCTGGCCACTCATTGCATGTTTGCTCGTGTCTGCAACATTCGGGCGGGCGCCATGGGGCCCAGCGGCTCCCCCCTGCCAGCGAGTGCCCGACGTCTTGCGCCTGATATTTTCCTTCTGTGTTCGTCCGGGGCATACTTCGTGATGGTTTGCGCGCTGGCAACAGAGGGGCCGGCGCCCTTCGCCGACGCGGGCGCGCGCCATCCGCCCCCGTTTCGCGAAGCCCCGGCGATGGGGCACCCGGGTCGCCCGCAATGTTCAGGAGGAGAAAACACACACAGACGCAAGTAATCGTCCATTCCCAGGAAAATATGGGAAAATATGGGAAGTGGGGGGGAAGACAGAAACCCAGAAAATATGGGAAAATATGGGGGGGTATTTTTATTTGTGTGTATTTATTTGTGTGTCCCAGTTCCCCTTCAAATGTGTCGCAGCAGACCTCGTGCAAGATGCGGAGCAGGCCCAATACGGATCCACTTGGTTTCGGGCCTGACAGACTTCGGCGGGGGCGCTCCTGTACCAAGTCATGAGTGAGCAACCTGCTGGCGCGACGCTGATCCTGTCCAAATGGGGGGCCTAATCCCGCGCCGGCTGGAGCGTCTGGATACAAGCGCTTCCGTGCAGCATTTGCTCCGGCAGCGGGCCACCCAGAGCATGCGTGCACATGTCGAGCGCATCGAGCCTGCGAGGCTGTTGAGTGCCGGGAAAAGTATCTGGGGCGAGGGGATTTCGCAAACCTGATTGCCGCTCTGGAAACCCATGTTTTTATGTGGCTCCGGGCCACGAGGCCGGCCATCCCAAATTTTATTCGGATTGTTTTCCGACCCAACGAGCAGACCTATGCAAGACTCATTAGCACGTGCCCCACGATGCACGTTGCGCGCCGAGGTCGAGCGTGAGGATGCGCGCAGGTGGACATCCGAGCATATGGCGCTGTGGGTTCTCGGCGGACAAATGCTTCTCGGCTTTGATTGCGGCGACTTTCATGAGAGAATTGCATGGCGAGCTTGCGCTTTCTGAAGGAAGCGCTCCTGTCGTCCACCTTGGGGTTTGAGATGCTTTCTGACATTGCAAACTCGCGGGGCTTCATTGGTTTCGCTGGCCGCGCGCTTTCCCCCCCCGCCCTGCGCGCGCGGGCGCGGTGATCCACGCCCCCCGGTCAGGTTCCCTCCGCGATTGGAGCTAGTGTAAAGCGATCCTGCATTGTTTTGTCGCAAGCATGCCGCGGGCCAAGATTGTGCGCTGGAGGTTCTGGGGGGTCCCTCCGCGCGCTGGGCGGCGAGTCCAGCTGCGTCAGCGCGAGAGTTCTGCGGGCCACCGCGACAGCCAGGAGGCGGCGGAGGCCGACGCGGCTGCCCGGCGGAGGTAAGAAACTAGGGCTAGGGGGCGCGCTGCCTAGGCTTCCGGCGCAGTGGAGATTTGCCGTGATGTTCCGAAGCTCTACAAGCCAGGAACCTCATGGCGGCGGGTCCTGGAGCCACCAAATCATCGCACGGTCGCCCCACCAGTTGCATATGCGCCGTGCCAGGGATGTTCGAGCCTTGGGGCCCGCCCCACCACTGCGCTGTCCTTGACCAGTAAGCACAATGGAAGTTTCATGCATCGGTTGATGCGCGAGCGCCCTTCCATACTTTGCGAGCTTGGGCTCGCCCCCGATCCCATGGCACATGAAGTTCTCTCGGGCTTTGCGAGCTGCCAGCGATTTGTTTCGAGGCGCTGCCGCCCATTACAGGTGGCGTCGCGATGAAGGAGCCGTCGCCGTTGCTGCGCCGGTGATCCGCGAATGAGAATGGTATTCTGGTTCCGCAGGTAAGTGGTTTGATGAGTTCCGTTCAAACTGTGGGTAGGTCGTGGACGGCATTCCTGCGCCTCGGGCGCCCCAGCGGTCTTTCGAGGCCCTTCAAGGGCCCAGCGCGATTCAAGGGGGCGTCTGGTGCATGCGCGGATCGGGGGGGGTGCTATGGATGGGAGAATTGGGAGATTCGAAGGGTGAGCTGTCTGATTGCATGCTGGCGAAGCTCAAGTAGCTGGTGAAGCGCTTGATGCGCTGCCCGCGCCAGTCCAGAGCCTTCCGGGCTCTGATGCGCATGCCCCCCCGGTCGCGCGGACCACCTGGGGGGCCAGCGTTCATGTTTTCAGCGATCATTTGTTATTGAGGACAAACTTTCGCAAGTCCCCGTAGCAGATCAAAAGGAAGATGCTTATCCTATTGGATATTTGGGAGCTTGCCTCCGCCGGGCCTGAGGCCCGTTCAAACGCGCTGGACCTTCGTCGGGCGAATCTCACCCGACACCGGCCCGAATTGACGCCATGCAGGTTTCTCCTGCTATCGAGTTGTTTGCAGACGCGCGGACAAAGGCGGCCTCCCGAGGCTCAGTAACTCCTGAGGTCGCAGCCCCATGCTGGCGGCCTGTGGCAAAGCATGTGTTGGAAGGTGCTCGCCATCATGCGGGCGGTTCCTTCGCTTCGGAGCACGGACCGCGGTCCTGCCCGTGAGAGGTCTGGGGTCAAATCGAAGGGCCCCCGCAAGATGAGACTCGCCACCGCCCATCGTGGCGCGATCGAGCGTGCGCGAGTTTTCAAGCGCGCGCGCCGCCGCCGTTCTCTCCTAGAAAAGGGCCATATGAGCAAGTTATGGTCGAAGCCTCGCTCCGCTCTGTTCCCGTCTGCCCGGGCCGCGGGGGGCCCGCGGCCCAGTCGACGGCCCGCGAGGTCTGCGGTCCCAGACGCCATTGGTCAGTCACTGCAGAGGTCGAGCTGCGGGCGGCAGCCGAGCATGCCTTCCTTCTTGTTGCGCGCGGCTCGCACTTGATCGCAACAGGAAGCTGCGTGCTGTACTAGCCGGCCGCTCTGCGGTTGATCGGGAGTTTCTGTATATAGAAGAAGGTGCGTGCGCTTGTTGGCGAGGGTGATGAGGTTCCTCCTCCTCCTCCTCCTCCTCCTCCTCCTCCTCCTCCTCCTCCATCCTTCTCTTGCCTCCGTCTGTCCTCCTCCACCCCGCAGCTCCATCATCTTCTCCTTCCTCCTCCTCCTCCTCCTCCTCCTCCTCCTCCTCCTCCTCCTCCTCCTCCTCCTCCTCCTCCTCCTCCTCCTCATTCCTCCTCTGGGCACCTCCCCCGGGGCGCGGATCCACCGGATCTGTCCGGATCTGTCCGGAAACGGTGCCGGAGGCCGCTCTGGGCTCCTCTGGGCACCTCCCCCGGGGCCGGTTTTGTGAGGATGTCTCAAGCGAGGGCGCCGGTTTGGGATTCGTCACCGGATCCAGCGGATCCACCGGATCTGTCCGGAAACGGTGCCGGAGGCCGCTCTGGGCTCCTCTGGGCACCTCCCCCGGGGCCGGTTTTGTGAGGATGTCTCAAGCGAGGGCGCCGGTTTGGGATTCGTCACCGGATCCAGCGGATCCAGCGGATCCACCGGATCTGTCCGGAAACGGTGCCGGAGGCCGCTCTGGGCTCCTCTGGGCACCTCCCCCGGGGCCGGTTTTGTGAGGATGTCTCAAGCGAGGGCGCCGGTTTGGGATTCGTCGGCGGATCCAGCGGATCCACCGGATCTGTCCGGAAACGGTGCCGGAGGCCGCTCTGGGCTCCTCTGGGCACCTCCCCCGGGGCCGGTTTTGTGAGGATGTCTCAAGCGAGGGCGCCGGTTTGGGATTCGTCACCGGATCCAGCGGATCCAGCGGATCCAGCGGATCTGTCCGGAAACGGTGCCGGAGGCCGCTCTGGGCTCCTCAGGGCACCTCCCCCGGGGCCGGTTTTGTGAGGATGTCTCAAGCGAGGGCGCCGGTTTGGGATTCGTCGCCGGATCCAGCGGATCCAGCGGATCCAGCGGATCTGTCCGGAAACGGTGCCGGAGGCCGCTCTGGGCTCCTCTGGGCACCTCCCCCGGGGCTGGTTTTGTGAGGATGTCTCAAGCGAGGGCACCGGTTTGGGATTCGTCACCGGATCCAGCGGATCCAGCGGATCCACCGGATCTGTCCGGAAACGGTGCCGGAGGCCGCTCTGGGCTCCTCTGGGCACCTCCCCCGGGGACGGTTTTGTGAGGATGTCTCAAGCGAGGGCGCCAGTTTGGGATTCGTCACCGGATCCAGCGGATCCAGCGGATCCACCGGATCTGTCCGGAAACGGTGCCGGAGGCCGCTCTGGGCTCCTCTGGGCACCTCCCACGGGGCCGGTTTTGTGAGGATGTCTCAAGCGAGGGCGCCGGTTTGGGATTCGTCACCGGATCCAGCGGATCCACCGATCTGTCCGGAACGGTGCGGGGCCGCTCTGTGGTGAACCTGCTGTGGTGAACTTGGGTGGTTGTAAGATTTAGCAGACTTAGCAAGTTGGTTTCGGAACTTACAAGTTGCGCTAACTGAGCGCAAGCAAGTGCAAGTACTTGCATGTTGACGTGCAGCCACTGCATTTTTAGCTCCCGAATTTTTTTTTTTTTTTTTTTTTTTTTTTTTTTAATGAGCGATGCGCAAGGCGAGCGACACCTGCATTGGAAAGCAATGTTTTTTTTGCGCTGTCTGCGCTTTAAGCAAGCCGGTAGCAGATTTCACGCGAGGGTCTCACTACTTGAACATGGGAGGCACTATCGTGATTGACCCGCCTCCATGGCGCCTGCATGCCTTGCAAATCTTCGAACCATTCCAACCAGCCGCGCGGGCGTCCCACCCACCGCAAAAGTCCACCATGCATTTTGCACAGTTGCACGTGTGCAATGCGGACAGTTGCTTGCAGACGGTGCGCCCGTATAGTTGGTGGTGGTTTGGAAACTTGACAAGCGCCCCGCCATGGCAATGATGATGTCGGTCGTGTGCGCCAGCTGCAAGTCGTCGTCGGTTGGGGCCGCGGTCAGCGCGCCGAGCCGATCATCGTAGCGAGGGGTGTCCCAGATTGAAAACAGCGACGCCATCGTTCCGTTCGCAGCAGCGTGAAACCAAACCTCCCCACGCGCCTTGCCACCATTGGTAACGGAAAGCAGCGCGATGTCGCGGGGCTGGCATATCGACAATGTCGACACCCGAGCTCTCAGAGCCGTGGTCGCGTTGTTCCAGGGGAGGCGCTGGCCGACCTTCTCCTCGAGGGAGGCGTGCATCTTCGTAGGTGCCGCCTTAGGGCGCACCAAATGCGGCGAGAAATCGAACGCGTTGGTGCTCCGTAAAATTGCCAAATGCAAGCATGTGACCTCGGACAGCACGCTCCTCTCAGAAACTTCTAGCTGCCGCGTATCATTGCAGAACCGCTTGGGCACTCTGTGCTTTCTCTCGTGTGCAGAACACGAC